TATGGCTGCTTTGGATTTGAAATTTCCATCCTTGTATTTCCCCTTAGCATAGAGAACCTTTGAGTCTTGTAACTTGTAAACCCTTAATTGAGATTTGAATTTCTTGAATCTTTAGAAATAAAAATTGACACAAATCATAATCTTCTTACTTTTACAGCTTGAAATTTTTGAATGATGTATTTTCATGTAACTCACGAATTTGGAAATGGGACATATTACGACTTGAGTAAATTCCAACATAGCTTGGAGCTGGAAAAAAATGAACATGCCTCTTGGGCACTTTTGAATTTTTCGAATTGACTCGGAGCTTGTAACCTTTCAAAGCTTGAATGACCACTTGAATTGTATTTTGAAATGAGCTTAGATTTATGAACTTGAATTTTTGAATTCTTATCTTAAATTTTGTCATGCTTTGAACATTTTTACATCATGTAAAAAATTATCCTTGAACTTGAATGGTGGTGAATCTTGATCATGTTATCTAGAGTTTGAGCTTTGTGCTGGGATTGGTGAATTTTCATGATGAGATATGAATCATTTCTTGAATCATGACTTGATTAGATCTTGAACTTTGAATTTTGATGATAAATTCCAAATAATTGGCCTTGAATTTTCAAACTCTTTTTTATTTTGCATTATACCTTGAATGAATCTTGGCTTGTATTGTCGCTATCTCTTCCAAATGGTATCTTGAAATTGACCTTTAGAATTGACTTTGTATGGAGGAAACGTTTTGAACTAATGAATTCAATCATGATTGACACTTTACGCCTGAACTTGTATTCACAATTTGAACCATGAATCTTGAAATCAATGAACTTTCGTAAAAGAACATGAGTCTTTAATTTTTACACACTTGAACTTTCTAAAACTTGATGAGTTTTTATTCTTGACATGGAACTTTCGAAACACGTCTTCTGTGATTCGTGACTTGAAACATATCATGAAATTTGAATTTAGTTCTTGACACAAATGAGCTTTTTAACACTTCTTGAAAGTACCATGGCCTTAATTGAATTGAACTTATGGACCCCTTTGTAACAATCTTCAAATTAAACTTTAATTCCACTCCTCCATCCACGAACAACAAGAAATAAGTAAATGAAAGAAATGAGGTCTTTAACATAATGAATCCTTTAAGCGATTTCTTGAGGAAAGAATCTTGCCATGTAACCCTAATTCGTGCTCTAGAGAATCTTTGAGGAAGATGAATCTTGGAATGAAACCTCAACGATATGATCTTCTAACCCTAATCCTCTTTCTCATGATGATCTGGCCTCACCAATGACCATGCTCAACATTGATGGACAGAAACCCTAATTCTTCGGGGTATACCCTGAAGTGCTTGACTGTAAGAATAAGTATCATCTACACTTGAAATCAAAGTACCTGCACACACTTGTTAGTCATAGTAAACACGCACACAAAGACCATATGACGTAAATATGTTATGCAAGACGGTGCACAAAGAGATGAGATATTAGGGTTAAAAATTAGGGTATGGCACATATATAACGCGCTTTTGGGTTTTCTACAACGGTTATAAGACCATGATTGTAAGTAGCGCATATACAACCACGCCCTATGTAGCAATGGCGGGTCATGCGTGATGTTATCCCTTTTCCAACCATTGTTGTATATGTTTTCCGTAGTAGTGAGTGGGAGGTGGTGTGTAGGGAAAAAGTTCTGAGGGTCTTGGAATTAAAAGTATCAAAAATTTCAATTTGGCACTGTTAACTAAGTGGAAATGGAGAATATTGAGTGAGTCGTCGCCCCTTTAGAAGAAGGTTCTTAAGGCTCGCTACGGAAAAGTGGAACATTTGGTGTTGGTGGAAAATCATTGCTCGAGGAAATCTTCGTCAACATTGTGGAAATATTTATTAAAGTGTTGGTGCTCTATCGAGTTTAGGTGAATTTAATTTTTCTAACTCGGTGAACTTTGTGCTAGGAAAAGGAGTGGATATTCCTTTTTGGTCAGCAAAATGGGCTGGTTCAGCGCCTATTGCAGTGTTGTTTCAGGATTTGTTTCACGTAAGTCTCAAGAAGAATTTCATGGCCAAAGCAATGGGCTTGTGGATTAATTGTGTTTGGTTCTGGGGTGACTTGGGTATCTCGGTTGAGGGTCTGAACGAGCTTAGCAGCAGAAAAGCATTGTTATTACATTTTTTGGATGGTCTCAGTCCCTCTCTTAGTACGGAGGACACGATATATTGGTCTAAAGATGAGAATTATGGTTATTCGGTCAAAGAGGCATATCGTCAAATGATGATTGATTCTGATAGTATCATCTTGTAGCCAGATCATTTATTGTCTTTTAAATGGCTATGGAATATTAAGGTCTCAGTTAGAATTAAAATTTTTGGCTGGAAACTACTTTGGAATAGATTACCAACAGCTGATGCTTTAAGAAGAAGAGAAGTAGATGTTAATTCTCAATGTCGCCTTTGTAATTTGTTAGATGAAGATCTTAAAGACCTTCTATTTACTTGCAGATTCTCAGATTTGGTGTGGAAGAAAATTAGAGATTTGTGTTAGATGTCAATCTTGCTTTAAATTAATCATATATAATGGGCATTTTTCAAGCTCTTTTGCGTTGAATTGTTGAAATTACTACGTGAAAGTTTTCCATTCTTCAATTGTTTGAAAATACCTTTGGTACCTTTGATTTGTGTGTTATTGTGCAGAAAATAGGCATTAAATCATCAAAGTGTGAGACACAAGGAAATTGAGCAAGGATGCCAAAGGAAAAGAAGAAGATCAGTAAGTTCGTTGGGCGAATTTACTAGCAAACATTCATTTTGCGAATAACTGGCGAAGAACTAGCGAATGCTCCCGGATTTGAGGCAGTAGCAAAAGGCATATAAATTCGCTGTGCGGACAAGCCAGCGAAGGTTCGTTGTGGCAACACTCTAGCAAAGAGCTAGCAAAGCATCCCATACTTTAGGCAGTAGCGAAAGAATCCTAAGTTCGCTGCGCGAACTTGTAGGCGAAGTAGTTCGCAGGGTGAATAATCATTCGCACAACGAACTTCAGAGTTGTCTCAGAGGTGGTTTAACTTTGCAGAGGCATATCAGGTGCCTAATTTGATGTTCGCTATGCGAATAATCTGTTCGCAGTGCGAACATGACAAATTCTGAATATACTTTATAAGTATTTTTAACCATTTTTGGGATCATAACTTACTTTTACACACCAAACTTTATTTTCTGAGATTTCTTCACCGAAGAGTGAGATTTTACACATAGAAGCTGGATTCGCATACAAGTTCGATTCTTCGACGTGGATGCTCATTCATCTCCTCCCGAAACTTGTGAAGCAAGCTACCATGGTTTTGGATAGCTAAATCACTTTTGTGTCAAGATTAGAGGTAATTAATCTTGTTATTATGTATTTATTTTGATCTTTTGTATGTGAACAAGATTTATGATCAACAAATGATGAAGATATTTGCCTTTAATGATGAATTTATGGTTTGAATCACTTTAGACATAGATTTTCCAAGTCTTGACCTAATTTCTTCATCTATTAACCAACAAACACTAGACATAGATTTGAAAGTTAATATTTGCCTTGTATCGATGTTTATGTTTATTGTTGTGATTGTTATTTTGAGAAATCATCTAGCGATTAAAACAATAATATTCACGGAGCCACTTTAGAAATAAACAGATTCGCGATTGTATAAACTAAGTTCACATGCTCGATTAATCAGATACGTACGAAAAGCATTAACGAAACCTAATCTTGACATGCTTTCCTTAAAACAAAACATCTTTGCCCTAATTTACTCTTTGCAACACACTTATGTTACAAAACAAGACACCTTTTGAAAACTCTTTACTTAGAACGTTAAACTATTGAACAACTAGCATCTAAGATATATTACGTGCAATCCCTGTGGATACGATAAAACACCCCCAAAATACTTTTCAACAATTGGCGTGGTGTTAAAGTTATTTTTGAGGGGGATGTAGCTAAGCATTGGTTGAATTGGAGTGGAGGCGGATTCAGCAAAAGTGTCAAAGGTGCAGTTTGGTTGGCGATTGATTGGTCTTTGTGGAAGGAAAGAAACAATTTTATTTTTAACTCTGTTTCTTGTAATATTGACAATGTTTGTTGGAACATCAAAATAATTGTTTGAAAATGGGGTTGTATCGAAGAGATTCATTATTCCAACTCTACTTTGCATGCTTTTTGTATGAAACCTTTTTAAGTTTTTTAGAGTATTGTTGGTTGAGAATTTCTTTCCTTATTTGTAAGGATTAAAATACCCCTTGTATTCTCTATTAATAATTTTGTTTTTTTAAAAAAAAAGAAAATTCCACACTTTTGTATTAAACTAAAATATAAAGTTCTCTCTTTCACAAAGAATTCTCTTATCTATTAAATTTTCATTTAAATTTCTAATATTCCTATACACTTTTTCTAAATACAAAAGACCGTATTTCTATCCTATTTGTAAATATTTAGTTTAAAAATAACATTTACCATCTTTTTATATTAAATTATTTTTACAAACATATTTAAGAGAGAAAGAGTGTCATAGACCAACCTAAATTTTATCTTCTTTCAAAGTCCCTTCATAGAAACGCATACACATGTGTCTACCATTCCTAAGATGTAGTTAAAATCATTTAATTATGAAACAAACTATTTAATTTTTTATCTATATCTTTTTAAGTGAATCCATCATTTTGAAATAAAAAATAGAGAGAATCTTTATATCATTCATATATGGCCAAAATCTCCACTTTCTCATATATGTCATTCATTGCCATTTGCCATTTGCCATAAACAAATGGCTATTTCTGGTGAACACGTTAATGTTATTTAAAGGTGACAGTCGTGATTAACGTCTATAGTTTTTCTCGATTTTTCCACCTAACCCCTTCCATTAATTATATAATAGGGTCGCAAAATAATTTAAATTATCATGCTACTCGTTGTCAACCCTTTTATAAATAAACAAAATAATACAACCTCGGAGCTGATCAATCACCATGTCCGACATAGTTAAGGATGCTTGGAAGAAATATCTCTTGCAGCTTCAGCTTCATCCTTTACGAACCAAGGTTTCTTCTTCTTTTCATTTCCTTTAATACTTATTTTGAAAATTAATTATAAACTTGTGTCATGTGTGTATGTGATGTTATGTTAGGCAATTACTGCATCAGTTCTAGCAGGTTTCAGTGATGCTGTAGCACAGAAAATTTCTGGAGCTAAGAAGCTTCAACTCAGAAGGGTTCTTCTTTTCATGGTAAGTTATTATAGTTGAATTTTGAAGGTTATGTGAGAATTTAAAAATCAAATTATTTTTGCAGCTTTATGGTTTTGCTTATTCTGGACCCTTTGGACATTTTCTTCATAAATTGATGGATACACTTTTCAAGGGGAAGAAGGGCAATGAAACCGTTGCTAAGAAGGTATATAGATATTATAGATATAGTTAACTTGTTTTATTATTGTGTGTCCTCTGTCACTTAAGTTACATGGATAATATTGTGTTTTATTAGGTACTAATGAATGAAATATTGTGTTTTATTAGGTGATTCTTGAACAAATAACTAGTTCTCCATGGAACAACTTTTTCTTCATGATGTATTATGGCTTGGTCATAGAAGGTATGTGCTAGACCTACTATTCCAATGTTGGGTGCAAAACTAGTTTTTTATCGAACATAGTTATAAAACATTTTATAGAATTAAAGTTTGTTTGGTTTGCAGGAAGACCTTGGAGTCTAGTAATGAGCAAAGTAAAAAACGACTACCCTTCTGTCCAGATGACGGCATGGAAGGTATGGAAATGTCAACACTCTTCTTCTGTTTGGCCATTGAACAACTTGAATAGTTAGTTTATAGAGGGCATAACTAATTAGTTTTATAAAAATGCAGTTTTGGCCTGTCGTTGGTTGGGTGAATTACCAGTATATGCCTTTGCAGTTCCGTGTTTTGTTTCATAGCTTTGTTGCTTCATGCTGGTGAGTTTATTTGCTTTCAGCTTCTTAAAGCTAAAACAAACGTGCCCTTAATGTACCTGTGATTCTCTTTCTTGCATCAGGGCAATCTTTTTGAATCTGAAAGCAAGGTCTGGTGCCATCAAGAAGGCCTAGGACAGAATAGTCTTCAATGTTTTTGGGATCGGAAATCTCCCATTCTTGTTAATAATATGGGATAATTCATGATAATTTATAGGCCATATTGAAGTTAGACTATTCTTACTTTTGTTTGCTTTGGTTTTGGAACTCAATTGGCGCAATAGGGAAATATGAGTTTGTTGGTTTACTTCTCATAATGCATGTGCCCCTTTTATAGATTATTTAAACTTGGTTTCATGGCAATTTTCATCTAATATGTGATTTTGATCTCTAAAACTTTATTAACTAAAATAACCCTTTTATTCTAAGAATTGGACATATTTAGTCTTGCTATCAATTGTATTCTACTTTTACTTTTGAAAGAAACATGATTAATTCATTTCACTTAGAATTAAAGTTCAAAGCAAGAAGGCTAAGGATTTAAAGAAAAGTTGATTCAGAGGTTTGATTTCTGATGGTTGCGATTGCAACAAATTTAATTTAACAGAGAGAATTTATCTTCGCGTGCAACTTAGGATTCTGTTGTTAAAATTAGTATTCAAGTGTGGATGGCAGGGAGCCAAAAGCAAGAGACAAATATTTTCTTAAAAATAATAAATTCTTTATTTTATATAGTTGGACGATATAATAATTTGCTAATCTTTAAACGTAGAATGCGCTGATCCGTCTAGTCCAAGATAACATATTTGTTTTGTGAATATGTGGTGAGTCAGTGTGGTTATTGGCCGCAGATACCGAGCCTTCTGACTAGTCCAAAACAATTGTCCCCCAAACCTTTACCTCTGCTATGTAATGTGACAGTTTTCTCGTGTTTGTCCTCTTTTAATGGTCGTAGCCCAATTTGAGTAAAAAATCAAGATGTGACGTCATTGTCATTAGGAATTCGCTTTAAATGTGCCTCATGCCTTAGATGTATTTTCATATGCATTATCGTGATAACCTTTGGAAATTAGAGAACTTGAATGTTTTTCTAAAAAAATATGAATTGTTTATAGCATCCATCTTCTTTCAGCAACACATTGCATAATCATTGTAGAATAAGTTATACTGACTCTTGGGAGTCTTATCTTTGTTCTTTACGTCATCTGCATTTCTACAACATACTATTTTATTAACCGATAGAAGTGGTGCCACCATGTGTCAAAAATTGAAAGAGGATACTTCTGTCTCTTGGGTAGATCATGCAATTTCACAACTCTTTCTATCATTGCTCGCTCACATAGTCTTGAAAGGGGCTTCCTCAATGTGGGTTCTTTTTCTAATTATGGCATATTGATCCTTGAGGAAAATAAAAGGATTTGCAGTGAATATGGCGAGAGCGTCATCCTTTTTTATGAGTGCATCCTTTCTATTCAAAGTTATGGACTGCCCTTCAATAGTTTTGAAATAGAACTTCTGAACCATCTCATGATTGTCCCCTCGTAACTGAACGCGGTGAATTGTGCCTATATCAAAGTTTTACAATATTGGTGTGACTATCGGTGAATTGTGCCTATATCAAAGTTTTACAATATTGGTGTGACTATCGGTGAATTGTGCCTATATCAAAGTTTTACAATAATTGATTAAGAGATTAATCAAAATCTATTTAAAGACTTAATAATAAGTAATATGTGGTACATATAGTTATTAAATGAAGTAAAAGTTAGATAATTGTCTAAGTTATAATTAGTTAATTGGTGTCAAATAACCATTAATAAAGAAAAATTGATTAATAAGTTAACAATTTCATTTTAGTCCCTCTTTGTATTAGATAGACCAATTTCAATATATATTACATCGACCAATTTTAATATAAACTAAATTTTGTAAAGAATAAAACAAAAGGATAAAAATAGAATGTAAAATTTTCGGAGACAGATACGATCTGGGGTTGATCAATCACCATGTCCGACATAGTTAACGATGCTTGGAAGAAATATCTCCGGCAGCTTCAGCTTCATCCGTTAAGAACCAAGGTTTCTTCTTTTTATTTCCTTTTACTGTTATTTTCAAATATATTGTTATCTGTGATCGATAGACTCCAACACAAATACTAGACACGACACACTACAGCCAACACCGATCATAACAAAAATATAAGATACTGACATCACTGTATATTATAAATATAGGATAGTATTTATCATTCATTTATCTATTTATTATTAAAAAAGTTGAAGACTATTATAATTAAAATTGATGTCTTTGACAGATTTGTCGAAAAACTATAAGATGAATTGAAGCAAAGAAAAAGAACAGTTTCTTATACTACATTTTTTTTGAATTGTCCGACACAAATATGTTATGCGAATGTCATACGGGTGTCAGACAACAGTTGAAAGAGTGTCGAAATAATAGAAAAAACCATTTTTCAAGACACTTGTTTGATTTTTCTGATATTATTATAATTTTTATGACACGTATTGTATGAGTGCCGCAGTCTGGCGCATGTCAGACACTACGACGTGCCTACCATTAGAAGTGTTTGTGCTTCATAGATTGTCATTTTCAAGAATCTAATGTGGTTATTGAAAATTAAAAATTTGGCTATGTGTTGTTATGTTAGGCAATTACTTCATCAGTTCTAGCTGGTTTTAGTGATGTTGTGGCACAGAAAATTTATGGAGCTAAGAAGCTTCAACTCAGAAGGATTCTTCTTTTCATGGTATGTATGCCTATTCTAATTGATTGTAGTTGAACTTTGCAGCTATGTGGGAATTTAAAAACCAAATTATCTTGCAGCTCTATGGTTTTGCCTATTCAGGACCCTTTGGACATTTTCTTCACAAATTGATGGATAGACTCTTCAAGGGGAAGAAGGGCAATGAAACTGTTACTAAGAAGGTATATGGTTAACTTGCTCTAACCCTTAATTTAGAGGGATACTATGTTTTTTTATTAGGTTATAATGAATGAAAAATCCTATTATTGTAGGTGATTCTTGAACAAATAACTACTGCTCCATGGAACAACTTTGTCTTCATGATGTATTATGGCTTGGTCATAGAAGGTATGTGTTAGGCTCATGAACCGTTTTCAGGTTATGGATAATACAGTACACTTATGTTGTTACATAATAAAAGAAATTTTCAAATGAAATATGCTAAATAATTCTTCTTCACTGCTTAATGCTTAGTATTAAAGTGAGGTTGGTTTGCAGGAAGACCTTGGAATCTAGTAATGAACAAAGTAAAAAACGACTATCCTTCTGTCCAGTTAACCGCATGGAAGGTACGGAAATGTCGAACAGTCTACTTCTGTTTGGCCAATGCAAAAATTCGAATAGTTAGTTTATGGAAGATTTTGTAAACATGCAGTTTTGGCCTGTCGTTGGTTGGGTGAATTACCAGTATATGCCTTTGCAGTTTCGTGTTTTATTTCACAGCTTTGTTGCTTCATGCTGGTGAGTTTCTCTATCTTTCTGCTCTTTATTTATTACTACTTTTCAATGATCTCTTGTTTTCCTCTCTTATTTGCTCCAAAGTTAATGAATAAGCATCATTGGTTTGTTGATAGTAACTCTGAGATATAGGAATGAAATATACATTACAAAAGGTTTTTTTTTCCTGAGAAAGTATTGATTCTACTTTTTGAATACTGCCAATATTGTAACTTGACTTTGTAATTTGGTTGCAAGTATATCACTATTACATTTTACCTTGTTATGGTTTCTCTAAGTCTGAAGTGTGGTATAATCACCATTAGATGGTTCTCTAGTTTTATACATGCAGTAGCAATACTGAAATTATGCTTCCACACTCAATAAAATGCATTTTGGCAAAACCAAGATATATATAAAGTATGTTTGGTTTGATAAAACATACAAAATCTCTAATGGTAAATTAATGGAGAATTGAGTTAATTTGGAGAAGAAGAAGTTAAGAAATTAAGAGAGAAAAATAGAGAGAGTAATTGAGGGTGAGAAGAATAGTTGACATTACTATCAAATACGAACTTACAAGACAATTTATACATCAAGTACAAATTGATTGGTCAACAAATCCGCAACTTGGTCAACAATCCCATAACTGATTACGAGTCTGATGCTAGCAAATCCAACCTTTTATTAACGCCATAACCGGTTACGCTCAAAGCCGTAATTGGTTACCACAACTAAAATATGTCAAAATACAACTTTTCAACACACCATCTCATTTCAGTTGTTCCAAGTCTAGCATGCTCAAGCTTTTCTTCAACCTCTTGAACACCTCATTTGTTACCCCCTTGATCAACAAATCTGCAATTTGGTCTTCGTTTCGACAATATCCCAATCGTAACTTGCTTTCACTCACTAACTCCCTCAAATAATGAAACCGCATCTTTATGTGCTTGTTTCTTCGGTGTGCAATCGAATTTTTCGCAAGGTTTATTGCAGAAACATTATCAACCAGAAGTGTAGTAGCCTCACCCTCATTGCTACCCAACTTCTTCAATAGATTCATGAGGCACATAGCTTGGCACACACACAACAAAGGCACAATGTACTCGGTCTCACAAGACAAGAGTGCTACCACCAGTTCTTTCTTCGAACACCAAGAGATTGGTGTCATACCAAACATAAATATGTATCGAGCCATTGACTTTCTACCATCCTTATCACCACACCAATTGGAATCGGTGAAATCAAGTAAATTGCATTTTTGCCTTATATCCAATGCGGAAAAGAGAATTCCGCAACCAAGAGTTCCTTTAACGTATCTAAGGATTCTCTTGACTACTGCAAAGTGAGACACCTTCAATCTCTCCATGACTCTACTAGAAATACTGACAATAAATGTCAAATCCAATCACATATTGCACAAATACCGCAATGATCTAATCAATCTCCTATGTTGCGTTGGATCCACATCTTTTTTCATCTTCACTCTTGGACAGTTGCAACCTTGCCTCACATGGTGTAATGGCAGCATTACAATGCTCCATTTCGCACCTCTTCAAGATCTCAAGAGCATATTCGTTTGATGCATGAGCAGTCCTGTTTTTGACTTGTGGAACTCTATGCCAAGGAAATAAGTCATGATACCAAGGTCCGTCAGTTCACTCGAGAACTTAAAGATACTCTTCTCACATCCTCTAGTAATCAATAGATCATCCACATACAAGTAAAGAATGATCATACCATCATTCGCATCTGATCTCACATAAACTCTGTATTCTGACACACACCGCTTGAAGCCAATATCAACAAGAAAGCCATAAATGTGTTTTTTTCCAAGCTCTTGGAGCTTGCTTCAAACCATATAATGCTTGATGAAATTTGTAGAATTTCATCTCTTGATTCTTCACTACAAATCAATGGGGCTGCTCAACATAGATCTCTTCATCAAGTGGACCGTTCAAAAACGCATATTTGATGTCCATTTGATATATCGTCCAATCGTTGTTATTCGCAATACCAATAACTAATCAGATGGTTTCAAGCCTAGCCACAGGTGCAAACACTTCCTTAAAGTCTATACCTCCACATTGCAAAAATCTCTTCGCTACTAATCGAGCCTTATATTTGATCACCTCACCTTTGGGATTTTCCTTCACTTTATAGACCCATCACACACCAATTGGCTTTTTTTCAAACGGTAAATCGACCAACTCCCAAGTACCATTTTTTCAATGGATTTCAGCTCCTCCTCCATTGCACAAATCCACTTTGGATCGCTTAGAGCCTCTTCTGTGTTCACTGGTTCAGATTTGTCCATAAGCGCAAAGTGAACGAAATCACCATCATCATTGATTTTGTTATTCCGATATACTTCACAAATTTGGAATCTTTGAGGAAAAACTCTTTGTCCTGTTGGTCGTCTACTATTTCCTCTATTTTCGGCTTCGACGGGTTGTTGCACAGCACCTCCAAAATTCTGAAAATTCTGATTTTCATGTCCGTAACCGGTTACAGAATTCTCGTAACCGGTTATGCCCCCTGCAAAACCAGTTCCAGCAGCTTCAAGATCCAAAATTTCACGTGGTAACCGGTTACGGCTTTTAGCGTAACTGGTTATAGGGCCTATATCATCAATTTTTCTGCAGCTGCCAAACTTTCGCAGCACGTCGACCACAACATCTCGGCTAATCACTATCCTCTTGTTTGGAACATCAAACAATTTATAACCTCCAGTAGGATGATAACCAATGAGTAACATCATCTCACCCTTGTCGTCTAACTTCTTTCGAAGCTGACCCGGAACGTGTCAAAATGCTATCGGAACCAAAAACTTTCAAATGGCTTAAGCTTGGTTTAAATCTAGACCACACCTCTTCTAGAGTCATCTTATTAAGCTTCTTTGTATGGCACCTATTCAACAAATAGGCGGCTGTAGAAACGGCTTCACCCCATAGCTCCTTCGATAAGTCTTTACCCTTTATCATGCTTCGAACCATGTTCATTATCGAACGATTTTTCCTCTTGGCAATACCTTTCTGTTTTTGTGTATAGGGTGGCACAATCTCATGCATTATCCCATATTCATCACAATACTTCTCAAACTCATTCGAGGTATACTCCCCTCCACCATCCGTTTTGAGAATTTTGAGTTTGTGCCCATATTGTCACTCAACCATGGACTTGAATCGTTTGAACACATCAAATACCTCATCCTTCCTCTTGATTAGGTATATCCATAGTTTCCTACTAAAATCATCGATAAATGTGACAAAGTACCTATTTCCACCATACGAATCGACTTGCATTGGACCGCACACATCGAAATTCACCACCTCAAGGTGATGTTTGATCCTATGACCCGCATCCATGCTGAAATTACTGTTGTGCATCTTCCCTTGCACACACTTTTCACATATCTTAGTTGGAATGTTGATTCTTGGCAACCCGGTTACCATACTATCCCTTTGTAACGCGTCGAGATCACGAAAATTGAGATGTCCAAGACAGTAGTACCATAACCACTCTTCTCGACTTTCCACTGTAGAAAAACACCTGTGCTCCATCACTTTCAACTCCACCTTGAAAGTTCTATTGGAAACCATAGGAGCCTTAAGGATCAAAACAATGTTTGCATCCACAACACGCAAGATCTTGTCTTCCAAGCGAATTTTGTAACCCCTCTCAAGCAATTGGCCAATACTCAAGAGATTACACTTAATTCTCAGAATATACAAGACATCCTTGATCATAGAATGTCCATCATTCTTCTTCTTGATCAAAACATCACCGACACCTTTGGCCGCAAGAGTGGTATTATCCGCAAATTTTAGTCTACTTTTTGCGGCTTGATTGATTTGCACAAACCAATCCTTTCTACCCATCATATGCGTTGAACAACCGGAATTCAAGTACCATTCCTTGATTCTTTGGACTCGATCTCAAACCGTAACCATTACGTTTTGCTTCGAACGCGTTTCTGCAATATTTTTCGAACTGGTGCAACTGCTATTCCGCAACTTGTAGTTGCTACTGCTGCTATCTAGCACCTATTTAATGCCATAATTCTCCTCCGTGATCATAACCAATAGCTTATTTTCATCATCTACCTCTTGCCTCGCAACCTTAACTTCATTGCTTTGATTTTCCCTTGGTCTCGCGAGACAATCTCTTGCTAAATGACCAAGTCTATGACAATTGTAACACTTCGCCCCTACTCATGTCAATCTTCTTGAAGTTGTTGCCTTGACCACTATATTTGGAGTTGCTCTCACCCTTTTGCCCCATCGAAATCTTCGAATTTTGTGGATCATTTCCACCCAAATTCTAAAGATTTTGCTTTCCTTTCGATATTCTACTCTTCTTGTTAAGTCGTGCTTATATAGCAATCTCTGCTTTAGCTTTATCGCTTCCTCTCTCGTCCATTCTTTGTTCATGAGCCTTAAGAGAGCTTTGGAGCTCATCTTTGCTCAACATCGCAAGGTCCTTCGACTCTTCAATAGACACTACAATGTTGTCGAATCTTGACGTTAAATAATGCAAAATCTTCGACACAACATTCTGCTTCAAAACAGTATCTCCGCAAGACTTGATTTGATTCACCAAACGCGTAATATGTGTCACATAATCATTGATTGTTTCCTTTTCTTGCATTTACGTTAACTCGGATTGCCTCTTGTGAGTTTGTAACCTAACCACCTTAACTTTAACATCCTCTGCATAAGCTTTCTCCAAGATCTCTCAAGCGTGCTTCGTCGACTCACAATCGCCAACTTTGTCAATATTGTCACCATCAACGCAAGAATAAATCAAGAAGAGTGTCTTGTAATCATTCTTCTTTTCTTCCTTGAATGCAACCTTTTGAGCATCTGTAGCTTCAGCCGCAAGTGGTGTAACTCCATTGTTGATGATCTCAAGAACTTCTTGATTTCCAAACAGAACTTTCATTTGTTTGGACCACTTGTCATAATTCTTTGAATCAAGAATCGGTAGGTTGGTGGGGATTCTATCGTTGGAAACGATACTCATTGTTGTAGCGGAAATGAATCAGAACCAGTGCTCTTGCTGTCAAATGTTTAGAACATACAAAATCTCTAATGGTGAATTAATGAAGAATTGAGTTAATTTGAAGAAGACGAAGTTAAGAAATTGAGAGAGAAAAATAGAGAGAAATTAAGGGTGAGAAGAATAATTGATATTACTATCAAATAGAAGTTTACAAGACAATTTATACATTAAGTACAAAATGATTGAAAATAACAGACACAACTTATTTAAATAAGTTGAAACTAAGAAAACTGATAAAATTAAAAATTGTCTGCATAACCGATTGAGTTAAATCCTGTAACCGATTACGATTCTGATACCAGTAAATCTATCATTTTTTAACGCAGTAACCGATTACGCTCAAAACGGTAATCAATTACCACAACTGAAATGTTAAAAGATAGTTTTTCAACATGGTTTCAGTGTTGGAGAAGTTAAGGTTGATTCTAAAAGTGTAGATTCTAGAATTGATTTTAACTCTAGAATTGATTCTAACCTACTAAAGATAAAATTTGATGATTTTGCCTCTACAAGTGTATCTAAAGGTAAAACATTTTATATTCAGCTCATTTTTAGTCTGAACTAATTCACTTTGAGACAAACACCTGTTCAACACTTTCTCACTTAGAAATGTTGCTTTTATGAAATTACTTAAGATATAGTATCATGCATGTTAGTAAGCTTTTTCGAATAGAACATGTGAAGTATGAATTATTTGATGTATAAGTGATCTCCTTTCTTGCATAGGGGGATATTTCTGAATCTGAAAGCAAGGTCTGTAGCTATCAAGAAGACCTAGGACAGAATAGGCTTCAGCGTTGATAGGTCGCAACCTCAGAAATTAATGTAATAAAATTATTGTTCTACTCTAGGACTAGTGTGAATATGGATTCTTTCTTTCAGTTTTGATTAGCTAAAAGGAATTAATATGTTGTTGTTTAATTATTTTGAATATTTAGGATTATAATAAAAACTAGCCCCAAAATTATAACTTTTATTTAAAATATACTATTTAAATCATCGTCTCTACATTATTAAGAATATATAACCGTATCTTAGTCTAATGAATCATCTATTTTCATAGTTGATTTAATGATAACAACCATTAAAAAAAACTATTTGTAAAGAACATGATTTTCTCAATTAAACCAAAATTATTTTTATTTTTCATGTGTTGTTTTAACCGTTTAATTTTTATGTATTAGATATTAGTCTTCGCCTTTCAATCCATCGACATATTATCTCTATTTACATTAAAAAGACACATTTGTAAAAAACTTAAAAGTTAGAGTGTTGTTTAATTTCTCATAACAAAATTTAAAACAAAGAGTTAAAATGGTATGTCATTTAGACATACCCCATAATCATAATCCTAAGACTAAGAATCTACTCACTGATAGTTTAGTTTGATAGAAAAAGTATTATCCTATGCATAATGAACCTAGAGGAATAATAAAGCTAACAAGAAAAACATAACAAATAAAGAAAATAAAGTAAAACCTTAATTGAAAAAGTAGCAGTATTACATTAAAAGTAGCAGTATTACAAGAGCAATGGATCTTGACTAAAATATTTCAGAGAGCCGTCGTTATTATCAATTAAAATATTATAATTTAAAATTTCCATAATTATATATAATTTTATTAAAGAATATATATACGGGTTGAGTTAACCCACAATTGACTCAAATGCACCTAAAATTTTTTCAAAAGGTGTGGGTTGAATAGGATAATTGAGTTTATATGAGTTTAAAAATTAAAAAACTCATTAAAAATTCATGTTTTGGATAAAACCGGACTCAAATCCAAAAAATTCATTGATCAACTAATTAAACATTTTTTATTATAATTTTAATTTATTTTGATGAATATTATTAATTTAGTTATTGCAATTTTAATCTCTTTTAGTAAACTATAACTTTAATGAATTTTAAATGTTTTACTTTTTTTATTTTATTTTGATACTAATATAATTTTATGTCATGCAACTTTAGTTTGTTATTAATATTTTATGATTATTTTTATTAATTGATGATATCATTTATTATTTTATGATGTAAAACATAGTAAAGATAAATTATTTAATTTTTTTAAAAATAAAAATTTTAAATAATTTTTTATGAAAAAAATATGATGAATCATTATTTAGTCATTTAATATTAATAAAACTAAAAAATTATTTAAATAACTCACTATCCAATTTAATCCAATCCAAAAATTAATGGATTTGTCCAAACCACAACATATTGATGTAACAAATAGTTATTTTATATCACCAAATCAAAATGTCCTATACAAATTGGATATTAGATTTAGTCAAACCTAATCCAAACCAGGCTTATACAGACTCATATTAATATATGTTGTATTCTAAATAAAACACTTCAAATTATTACTAATTGTGGTATAAATACTTTTTTTTATAAACGCTGACTTGACGATCAATAGATGTGATTTGTTAATTTAATTAAATATGATTTTGCTAATTTATACATAGTTTATCATAAAGTTTTTTAATTTTCACCTATTAAAATTAAGTTGTTGTCATTCCAGCCTATTGATTAAGTATTGTTTGTTTTTCAACGAATCAAGTGATTCAATTCTTTTGATTGCAAAATATTAAAAGTAATATTATTATAATATTAAACATTATAAAACAAGTAGTTTGAGTTTAGTTATACACTAGTTATATAGTTGAACTAAGCTAAAAAGCACTGTAACAATTGTTATGATAAGCACCGATGAACTATACTAGTATACGTAAAGAAAATACTTAGGGGTGCCATGGCCCACCCCACCTAAGTAAAAGCAGTATATTCAACAAAATAATTAAATAGTAAAAACAATGAAAATAAGACTTATCCAACTCCCTCATTCTTAAATCATTGATTGTATTCAAGCAATTTGCTTAAATGGGAAATATTGGGGTAAACATTTGTTTCAAAAGAACTAAACACGTAAATATTTGGAAATTTCAAATTTCACATAGTCACCCACTTAAATTTTAAATTAGAGTCTTTGAAATTCATCTAAGTCATTGGTTCTCATAAAAAGAAAACTTTTCACTAGATTTTTCCTCAAAGAATAAATCTCTATTTAGGTTTGATCATAAACCTTGTGTGATTTCTCTAATGAAAACAATTTTGAAATTATTGAGAATTTTATTTTATATTGTAATACTAAATATATGATTTGGTATGGTCCATAACTCTCTAGGTTTGTCCCCTACTTCATTATTAATGAAATGGATAGGAACAAACCGACTATCTAAAAAATAATCCCACAAAAAAAAATCAATAACCTCTAAAAATGTTTTCATTTTCGCTTTCCTTATGGTATAATATCCTTCAACATTAAACAATGAAGGTTTGTTCAAGGAAATAATTTTATCAAAAAATGTTGAAAGTCGCCATCATATTTCTTTGAGATGATTAGTCTTATAATAAGAATTAGACTTTAATGCTTCTTGTTGAACAAACGACTACAAATACAAGAAGGAATGTGAATGGTGTTATTCGAATTTCAAAAATTTTAAAATAAATAATTATTTTAAATATATTTATTTTAAAAAAGAATAAAAACATAGAATAAGAATAAAAAAAGATAAATGACATAAATATAAAGAGATAGGGTAAGGAATCAAAGAATGAAATTAGAGAGGATGAAATCCCACCTTCCTCCGCCCAACAAGCGTTCTTTCACACAAGTTTTGAAGACATCTAAGGAGGTACAAACATGTCAACTAATGACACTGACGATCAAAGGAGATGTGTTGGGTATCAAAATAACTCGGGTGGAGTATAAATAGGGACTTGCAGATTGCAAACGAAATTCACCGATTGATCTTGAACAAAGGAGACACACCATTAACAGGCATGGAGCTCTGTGAGAATATTTCATTAATATGGAAATTCACAGAGTTATTTTGATAAATACAATGATATTCACATGGCGTGATTCATGGGGTCCATCAGCGCAAAACCACGAGTTCTAAGAGTATTAAAGTGGACAAAAGACTTTAATCCATATACATGATGGCAAACACACAATCAAGTTTGGATTGAAATTCTGGATTTACCGAGAGAATGTTAGAGACACCACACGTTGTTCAAAATTGCAAGTACAACAAGGACACCGCTTTCATTGGACGAAAATACTAAATCTCAGTCTTTCGGCCATTATGCATGTATATTGCTAGATATATATTTGTCGAGAAATGTTTTTTAGAGAAATATTGGTGGAAAGGGATGACTACACATTTAAAGTGGATGTCGTAAATGAAAAGATTGTTGAAGTATTGCAATCATTGGGAATAACATCTCACAATGCAAATGGATACAAAACGTAGGTGAAAGAAAAAAGAAGGATCATGAAAGACAACATGTTGGTATAATTCTGGTAACTAAAGTTCCGATAGACATGAGAACATGACAAAAGAGGATATGAAAAAAGGTAACATAGAGGTGATGGATAATCAATGATTTGAAAAAATGACCAAGACGCAGGTTGTAACTCGTAGGAATATGGAAGGGATGAAATCATCGATGGAGAATCATGTTGAATTATTCATGGATAATGAGTTGAACCAGGTTGTGCAAAATGACATATTGTTGATTAGGCAAGCTTGTGAGGACATGACAGAAGGAGCTCTGCTTGCCTCTAAATCAAAAAAGAAGAAAAATAATAAACATGCTACAAAGGTTTATCAACTATATTTACACTCATTTTGAGAGGGCCATGGATCCTATACCCTATTGAGGATCATCACTTCTTTTAAAGAATACTTTAGCGATGCTTATTCATTGGAGATTTCAAGTGAATTTTCAACATTCTAGATGGATGCAGTCATCTTAATCGATTAAAACAATTACCTAATCGATTAGATTAAGCCAAAAAAAAAGGAAACAATAATATGCAACGCGACATACTATTATAAATGGCTATGCTTCATACATTGTTATTTTCAAGAGTCTAATGGGGTTGTTGAAAATTAAAAATTTGCGTATGTGTTATTATGTTAGGCAATTACTGCATTAATTTTAGCTGGTTTTAGGGATGTTCTGGCACAAAAAATTTCTGGAGCTAAGAAGCTTCAACTCATAAGGGTTATTCATTTCATGGTATGTGTGCCTATTTTAATTAAAAACTATAAGCTATTAAATTTTGAATGTATTTGAATTTTAAAGGTAAGTTGGAATTTAAAAATCAAATTATATTGCAGCTATATGGTTTTTCCTATACAGACCCTTTGGATATTTTCTTCACAAATTGATGGATACACTTTTCAAGGGGAAGAAGGACAATGAAATTGTTGCTAAGAAGGTACATAGTTAAATTTCTCTATCACTTAATTTAGAGCGATAATAAAAATATTGTTTTATTAGGTTTGTTGTGACAAAAGCTGCACTAGGAACGAATAAAACTATGAGAAAGATTGAGTTTCTTAAACAAATACAAGAAAATCTTTTTAGATTTAAGAAAGAGAGAGAATATGGAAGAATAAGAAGAAGAAGAATTGTTTAAAAGTGTTTTACTATTTACTTTCACAATTAGGAAAAAAATTTACAAACAAATATCAACCAACCTTAACCTTCTCTTAACTACTTGAGAGAGCAGTCTGTTTATAGACTACAAGCTAACTTAACCAACAGTCTAACTTATATAACTGCATGCTAGAACAAGCTTTGACTATAATATACACATCTACAACTCATGCATACTTGAAAAGACTTTGACTACAGCATGCACAACTTTTATCAAAACATGAAGCTATCACTGTCGAAACTAGAGTTCGATCCAA